CCCCCACCCCACCATCTTTTTTTTTATTATTAACGCGTCTAAATAAATAAATATAGATACAGACAGATGTGTATGTATAATAGCCCTTTCACTGTCTAGTACTAGGAAGAAAGGAAGACACGCGCCCACATTTTCTTATTCTACTCTGTGTGTCAAATGTAGTAAGAGGAGAGAGAGAGAGAGAGAGAGAGAGAAAATAAAACGTTTTTGTGCGTTTGCCGAGTAACACGGGGACGTGCCAGGAGGACACTGTGTGTTGTGTGTGTGTGTATTAGCGACGCGCGAGTATGATATAACCATTTGTTGTACTCGCCAGTGGGGTCGTGCCGCGTGTACATAATTTTTTTTATTTTTTTATTGGTGGGGCCCATGTCTTTGGTGGTGGTGGTGGTGGTGGTATTTGAGGGATACGTTTGGGTTTGGCTGAATTGAATGTGGTCACCATCTGGAGTTTGGTGCAATTGATTACGGTTGTTTCTGTTTATGCCAGATCCGGAATCCCTAACGCCAGATCCACATTTTGTTTTAACCCCCTTTTCGCCCTTATTTTTAATATCTCTATTCCAAGTATAAATCATACAATCCGAATTTAATTATTAGGGTAAATTACAAACAACACCCCTGAGGTATGGTCAAATTACTAAAAAACCCCTCTTGTTTGGATAATTACATCTACCCCCTTCAACTATGATTTTTTCTTACACCTCCAGCCCTTATGGTGCGAAATTCAATATAATCATCTAGATTCCGTGAAATGTGCTCTAGTTTGTACTCGTTTTGTGTAAAAATACAGTTTCCGATGCACCACAAACTGATATATACAAGTTAAAAATCACATATTATGATCATCTTGCTTCATAATGTAGAGTTTGAATGGGATAAAACGGGTACAAAAATGATAATATTACATATAATCTCGAAGATTCCACTAAATTTGAGGAGTTGAGGGGGTGGTTGTAATTATTCAAACAAGAGGAGTGTTTTTGTAATTTAACCATACCTCAGGGGGTGTTTGTAATTTACCCTAATTATTAATTGATATCAACTGCGATTAATTTCATATGTCACACAACTAGTTGGACTGCAAACACATCTTCTTGCCCTTAATATTTGTATATAATAATATATAATAAAGTAAATGAAAAAAATGGATTTAAGTGTTGGCTTAATCTCACTTTGCATCTTGAAAATAATAAATAGTATTTTGCATCCTCGACACACTATGAATCATACACACTGCACTTCAAATGATTTTTTTTAAGTTAATGAAAGTAATTTAATAGTTTTGTTGTTAGTTTTTTAGGATGTCAAATATCAAATAATTTTTTTATTGGTATCTCATCAACATAATTGAAAACTATATTTTTTTCATCAAAAAAAAAAATACAAAAAGAAAAAAAAAAACGTTCAGCTATTTTATTAGCAAGTTAATCGATAATTATACTCTCTTACAAAGATTTATACAAAATATATTTACCAATTACACTAAAAGATCCACAAGTAGAATAATTTAGTGAAAAAAGTATATTTTATTTTTTTTGAATAGTTTTGAAGTATCCCAGTGTGATTTTTTTTTTTTTTTTTTGGCACATCGTATGCTCGAATTATGTTGGAGGGTAGAAAAAATCAATAATTTAATTTGTTATTTTGCACCTTAAAAAATAAATAAATAATAAAATTGCCTTATTATGTTTTAAAAATTCAATTAAGGGTGTGTAGTATATAATTAATTGTAATTTAAGGGTACAAAGTACTATTAACTTTTCTTTTAATTGTGAAAAATGCCAAAATTATACATTCAAGGGTGCAAAGTAGAATGTAAAAAATAAATTTTAAAGCGAGAGATATATAGGAAAATAAATACTAATGTATAACTAATAAAGTTCAGGGGTTTAAAGTGCAAAAACAGCGAGGATCAAGGGTAACTTGCGGAACACCCCTCAAGTTCAGGGGTTAAATTGCAAATTCGCACTTTAATTTAACCGAAAAATGCCCCTCACTTTTCCAATACAGTGAACAGGTGAGCATTTCCGGCGATTCTCTCCGGTTAGTTTCCTCTTCTTCATCGGTTTCCTCCTCTTCGAATTTCTCTAATTTCATTTATAAATATCAAAATTCCAATTTTGTTGTTGTGAAATTATGAGTGAAAACCTGGCTGAATCTGAAGTAGTTCTTCATTAAGAATGTAATAATTTTAGGGCTTATTTCAAATATCCCCAAATATTTTGTTTTTTTTTTCATTAATATTATTTGTTTGCTGTTCATCTTGGTGAAATCTGGGCATTATTATTTCTAGCTTAATTTCAATTTTATTTTTGGGGGGAGAAATACTCACTGTTGAATTAGGGAAGTCTTCGATGATTTGAGATGAGTTTATTTGCAGATATTCGATTTTTACCCTTTTACCTGCTGTAATCTGGTTCGTCGAGGTATTTGTGTAAATAGGTATAATTCGCTGAATCGTAGAAACTATCGAAATAAAAGAAATGCCAATAATAAATATACGAAAGAACCCTTTTTTTTCTGATTTGTACGATGCAATTGGAGCTTGTCGGCAGAAACGAATCAATTTAGATAGTCCTTTGTGGCTCCGGTGGGCGGTAGCGAATAGATCAACGGGTTATTGCTTCAAGAGAAACTCCCATCGAAGTTCACTATGAATCTTTAGGCACTTGTTACGAGATTTATGGATACTATCTACTAGCAAGAAGTATAAAAAAGGAAGTCAGCACTTTGAAACACTTGCATTCATCGTAGTATTTGATTCTCTTTTTTTATCCCCTTCGCATTTTTTTCTAAGTGGATCAGGAGATCCGATTTATCGTTGAATCAATTTCATTTTCTCTGTTTACAACATGTATGTATGCAACGTTATTTAAAAATTATCGGCTTTTCTCGCCATATGGATATAAAATTTATTTAGAAATTCCCAAGGATTGCTTGCTGATAATTACTAAAGAGTAATCATCCGAGTCACACTTTCTTTATTTGAGACAATAATTATTATTACTTTTTTTTTTTCAGTTTTTTAGATCTTGCGCGAGACGGGAATAACTAGATAGGAACACAATGCATCCTCATTTGACGATCCACAGGCATCCAATGTGTGCTGAAGTGAGTTTCGCCACATATATCGACTAATATTTCACTTGAAAGGAAATTTATTTCTGTAAATTATTGGTGCATATTGGTACTTATGCAACTCTTCTCTGTAGATTATCGAGCAGTTCCAGAAATGCCATACAGACCATCCTTTTGGAAAGTTTTTTGGCGAATGCACTGATCTTAAACTTAAGCTCGATAAATGTTTTCGACAAGAGGTAAAGTTTAATATATGGTTGCATTCTTCATCGAATTGTAGAACGAATATTATGATGAACTCGACTCGGACCTTTTTCCTTGTGCAGAAAGCCGTGAAGAGGAAGGCAAATTTTGAAGAGAGCAAAAAATTGAAAGAGAGATTGAGAGCATACAGGAAGGGAAGTTCTGAGATGAGAGAGGAAGAAATTTCTGCATAGGTTAAATCTTTATTACCAAGCTATCAGAGCTACGTATATCGAGGGCTTGCTGCTTTAATATGCAGATTGTATTTATGCAGTCCTTTTGTTTGCTCAAATGTCTAAATAACATAAATCGAACTTCATATGCCATAGTCGCGACGGCCTTGAACCCAGTCGCTGTAATATAGTATTATATGAGGGTTCGTTTTGTTAGAATTCTCTAAATAATAATACAATTTCCTGGATACGTCATCAAAAATTCTCGAAATAGAATTTGGTTAGAAAAGATTGTTGTGATCGTTTCTTATACATATATATTTTGTGTTTTTTTTTTTGTTCTTAGCTGCTTCGCTAGTAATTCCAATCATTGTAATTTTCATAATTAGACCTTACCTCCGGGCGTTTCTCGTAATTTGCCCTATATTCTAAGTTCCCGTTTGGTAATCTAATGAAACCCAATTATTTTATCGGAGCTTGCAACGTCCAACAAAAAAAACTCATTAGAAGGCACGATAAACCATGATTATATAATTTTGGAGGGTCGACCCGGCAATGTATTGGGATACCAAACATCAAATTAAGTCCAACTATTTAGTTAATCATGGCTTATCTTGACAACCAAACGAGGCCTAAATCTATTCTACTAGAATCATTGTCTCGAAATTGAAAGAATCTCTTTGAACAGATGGTAACGAAGGATAGATCGAGAGAGAAACAAACATGAAAGAATGCAAAAATAAGAGAAACTTAAAAATAGGCAAATTAAGTAAAAGCTCATAGGTTGTCCAAAAGACCAGAATGTTAATATCTGGGCAAACACCAATAAATGATATATGCAGTTTATTCATGTCTTTAAACGGAACGTAATCTCTAACATTGTTGAAACAATAATCGGAGGGTAACAAAAACTCAAAAACTGTTGGCATAGGTCGAAACATAAACACCACAGCAACGGAAAACAATTTTTATCTTATTCGACGAGGTATATATTTTGCTCTCTTTTACTAAAGAAAGAATCTTCTACTCAACCAATAACCCACCATATTTTCCAACTGCCACAAAACAAAATACGTGCAAAACAACTACTTCAAGCAGTTGCCTCCTTGAGGTATGCAATCAGATCTGCACGCTCCTTCGGTTTCTTCAGCCCGGGGAACACCATCTTAGTTCCAGGAATGTACTGCAACAACATAATTCACATGGTTAGGCTAGTAATTCAACAATTAATAGAAACAGAAAAATTATACTCTAGCAGTCACATTTTATAACTCGAACTAAACATAGCAACGAGAAGCTAGATTACAGTCATTTTGATTAATCTTAATGCCAAACTTGTACAAACATGTGGAGTGACCACCAGCTGCTGATATATAATGGGCTTTAAGGGAAACTTGTTATACAACTTTCGTTCAAATCACTGCACTTAGTAATTGAAATACGGGATACTATAACGACGAAACTAAAACTACGCCGTTTACCCCATTTTGTAACTACATTAGGAATCTTAGTTGACAGATAATCAAGCAAACACTAATGTGATAGCTTGACCAAACACAGCAACCACTCATTATCAAAGTTTGTTGCAACCATTCGGCATAAGTAATTTACATAAATCTACAAGTCAATCTCATGAAAATTTAGTACGCATCGAGTCCACCAACTTTCTATTGGTTAGATATCTCTAGTTTTCTAGACACTACTCATGCCCCCACTCGCTTACTGCTATAAAAAAATCAACTTTTGTGGGAAATCAGTTCCAATCCAGAAAAAACAATATTCGAAAATGAAATATAACTCTAATTTTGGATTGACAGTTTTTTAAAACGCTTCGCAAACAGAGGTATCCAAGATAAACAACATACCCCCAAAAGCCATGTTTGTCTGAAAATCAGATATCACAAAAAAAATAAAAATAAAGCAATCCACCTTAATATGACATCATAGAACTGATTTGAATATCCAAAAAGTTACAATTTCACTGAACACCACAGTAACTTCGAAATATCAAATTTGAACACGGCTGAGCAAAGTACCTTCTTGGGATTAAGCAAGTAATCATAAAGTGTATTCTCTCCCCAGTTTACAGCCATGCTTTTGTTGGCAGTCGAGTAAGAATAACCAGGGGTGGTGCCGGACTGCCTTCCAAAAAGCCCGTTCAAGTTGGGACCTAACCATTTCACATACATGACAAAAACCTCAATGCATACAAAATAACGAATACAAATCGGAAAGAACAAATATGCAAACAAAATAGTAAATAAATAATCATCACTAATTCCAAGCACCAACAATTTAAGCAATTTATACACAAAACCCTGATCCGAAAAAATTGTGCTAGCTACTTCGATCGAAAACCATACATAGTTTCGTCGAAATCTGTGCCACTAAAACTACAGAACAACACGATAAAATTGCGACAGCTACTTCGATCGAAAACCCAACATAGTTCTACGAATAGCTCTAAATCAAGAATTGCTCATGTTATTATTATAGTATCAAAATCATCAAGATGCACGCACTCGGGTCAAATTAAGAAACGAACGAATTGGCCAAACAAAATTACCATTAATACGCAAGTAATTGTCAGATCCCAGACAATAAGAACAAATTAAGCCAAAAAAAAAAACAAAACCAATTAATTACATTTCTATAAAACAAATAATCAGAGGATAAAACCAGAATACACACTAAACAATTAACACGAGATCTGAAGCCAAAAAAAACAAATACAAAGCTGGGCGAATATCATCAAATCGCGCAAAAGGTAAACACAAAAAAAAAAACCCTAGAAAATAAACTAATTCAGCTAACTGACCTTGTTTGTGGCCGGCGCCTTTATCAACGGTGTGACACTGAGCGCACTTGGTCTTGAAGATCTTCTCTCCGGCCTTGCCGTCGCCGGGCGGTGCCTCATCAAACGACGCCATTTTCGATTTCTCTGGTTTTTCGTTAGGGTTTTCAGATCCCCTTTCACTGTATTTCTTTTTCCTCCAAGAGCCCCCTTTTTTTCTGTATTGTGGTCGGTTGAAATTTACTAAAAAGGCGTGTGGCTTTGAGGCGGCGTCACAAATGGAAATTACAATTGTACCCCTTTGACTGGTCAACAATTGGGCCTTGAGCGGGGGTTGCAAAACCTGAATCCGCCTGGTTTTGCAAATTTGTTACACTAGGCGGATTCCGGTAAATGTATTTTATTTTTGGAATAATTAGCTATACCCTCCTTATTTCAAACTTATATGGCTATGAGTCCAATGTGTTAGATTAGTATAGCTATAGGCCCTTTGACCAAAATTTTTAATTAAATTAATTAAAATTATAAGCCTACGGACATAAATACCCTTCCAGTAAGTTATTTAATTAAGGAAGCATTTAATTCAGTAAATTACGTTGAATAAATCCCAAATATCACGTTGTAAGATTTGGAAGGGAGTTATGAGACGTGGGTAGGGATGAAAGTCGGATGGATAGGATCGGAATTAGCCTTTTCGGAAAATTTCCAAAAAAATTCGGAAGTACAAAATCAATTCCAATTTTAATTCCAAAATTTTCGGAATCTAAAAATTCATTCTAATTCTGAAAGGCCCGGAAATTTCGGAATTTCGGAAAAAAATTGAAAATCACATAAGCTTTACAATTTCAAAACTTAGCCGAAATTTTCTAAAATGTCCATAATTTTTCAAAAATAAGAACATCCAGGTCGATAAAAGTAAAACTAATTACTGCAAAATTTCAGTTCAAAAAAATAATAAAAATAAACACAACATAATATCCAATAAAACTTGTAACAACAATTCATTATGTCAAAATCCTAAGAGAAAACTTATAGGTGTATTTTTCGGAAAATAAATATTATATAATATATTTTATTTATAGGTGTATTTTTCGGAAAAAATCGATTTTTTTCGGAATTAATTTCGGAATTAAATCGATCAGAATCGGAAATTCCAAATTCATTTTCTATAATTCCAATTCCAATCCAAAAAAATCGGAAAAATTCGAAAATCGGAATTTCGGAAGTCGGAATAAAAAAAGTTGTTCCAAAATCGGAACTTTTCGGATCGAAACCGGCGGAAATTGGAAATTCCGTTCCAACTTGCACCCTTAGACGTGGGTTGAAAAAAAATATCGGGAGTTTATCAGACGTGGTAGAATTAAAGAACTCATTCGTCGTTATAATATCTTAGAATTGTATGGCTTTAGTTTCGTGAAATCTAATGCAATTAGGTATATTTTTGTTTTTCGTATTGCTATCAACATGAAGAGGAGCTACGTCAATAGGTTTGTTTTGTTGTTGGAAGGGAGTTTATGAAACGTGGTTGATTCATCTTTGACGACACTCTTATTTTATTTCGCAAAATCTCTGGTTTAGATTTCGAGATTGAAATTCGAATTCAGACTTTTTATTCAATTTGGCAGGCATTAAATTAAATTTTGTGATTTTTTTAGGGTTGATGGTGCAAGATTGAAGGAGAAGATGACCATACAGAAAGTGATTGAGCCCGATTCACATATGTTCTCTTTATTTGCTCATCAGGAGAAGATTTCATTTAGTTTTTTTTTTTTGTGCAAACCAAAACGAGTACAAAATGGCTCGCTCGTTCTCAGCCGCTAAATTCATTCCGTATTTAATCGTCAGAGTAGTTCCGTATCTAGAGGCTCAAGGACATCGACTAAATCTGATAATCTTGAGACGAAAATTGTGTTTGTTGTTTGCTATTTTTTTTCACTTTGTTGTTATATATTTATTTTTTGTTGTTAGTATGGTACTATTTGCACTTTCCTTTTAATTCTTGCAGTTTATGTATATAATGTATTTTTGCTCGAATATATTTTTACACTTTTGCTGCTTTTGTTTACTGTTTTAAGTTTTTTTTTCATACATGATTGTCACTGTTAATATCTGTTATGTAAATATCAAACATTAAAAATCCATTCATAATTCAAACATCAAACAGCAAAACATCATGTTATAATGTCCATATCGAACAACAAACATCAAGTTTTTTTTCATCTATTTATGTCGATTTGCACAATTTTCGATGTTGGTGGATTTTTGTTTTGCGTTTTGTTGTTTATAGCAGACTATATTTTACACTTTGATGTTATATATATTTTTTTTTGAGTTGTTGGCATGGTATTGTTTGCACTTTTGATTTTTATGTTTGCAGTTTGCATATACAATGTGTTTGTTGCTCGACTATATTTGTGCATGTTGATGTTATATATGATGTAATTTTTTGGTATAATATTATCTACACTTTTGACGCCATATATTTGTTTTTGCAGTTGGTATTGTATTATTTGAACTTTGCCTTTTCTTTTTGCAGTTTGCTTATAAATTACAATAGCAAAATGCAAATTATAACAGCGGAATGAAGACTAAAGCCTTGTGAGAATTTTGTTGCAGCAGTGTATAGCATAACAAAAATCGACTAAAGCCCTGTGACATTTTGCCTGTTTTTTTAACAATGTACTGAATTTATAAGAACTTATGAATTGGCAAGCATATACCAATACACAAAATAACTGCATGAATTTGGAATATATTAGAAAATAGTTCATATCAAAATCCAACAAAAATATAATTCCACAAATAAAAATCAAAGCTCTGCTAAGCATAAGTAAATATCATAAAAAAAATCTAATTAAACTCAACGGTATCCTCGTCGTTCAAGAACTGATAATTAAAAGTTTTTCGAGTGCGATATCACACTTGCTGCAGTTTTCTCACTAATGGTTGTTGCATGCACAACTGCCTTGCCATATACAAGACAAAAATCCCACAATCAACCAAATCAGGTTTGTTGAGGCGATGTCGAAACATAATATGGCTTCGTGTTATCGTGCAAATAGATTTGGCTTGATTCATCGTTGCTTTCCTCTTTTTGAAGAGGCAAATGATTCATCTACTTTCCTCTTCCCTTTCGTCAAATCAACTGTTCAATTGAAAAAAAAAATTATTGGACAACCATGTCGGTACCTATAATCCATGTACATCAATTGCATGTAACAATATGTCAGGTGCATTTGGTAACATCAAATGCAAATTGTAATTTTGAAACAATAAAATGCAATTAAAAATCACAAGATGACTAAGAATATAACAAAGTTCAAATGAAATATACAATATCAAAGATTACATCATATATGCAAAATGCAAAATGCAAAATGAAAAAAAAACATCAAAGTGCAAAACGCAAAATGCAAAATAAACATCAAAGTGCAAAATACACTACGCTAGAAACAACAAATTGCAAACAGAAAAAAAAAAAAAACGAAATCGAATATATGTTGCAATCGACACCAGAAAATAACATGAACAAAAAAAAAAAAACAAATGTATCACAAAACAGCAAAATGAAAACACAAAATAATGTAACACATACCAGGAAACTCCAAACAAACAATCAACGGATTTAGGAGGAAAAAGACAAATTTAACAAAATACTCCAAAGGGCCGAAAAGCACAAAAGACGACAAAACAAAAAATCGCAATCGAGATCTGAAAAGATGTAACAAAAACGTGAAACAACCGGAAAAATATTGTAAATGAACAGTAAAACCAAACAAAAAATAATGTCAAAACGAAAAATAAAAATAAAAATTACATGGGGTTAAAACCTCTAATTTGCATCTTTCACTTATGTTATAAAAATAACCCATTGCATTCAGTCAATGAATCGCCATTAAAGACATTTACAAAATCACAAATCAAATTACCTATACGTTTCGATTTTGCACTATCCTCTAGAATGTGTTTTTTTTGTTGGCGATTTGCAGAAGTTATAGAGATTCCATCGTTCTCGAGAACAACGATAGGGTTACAGAGATTGCATTGAAGAAAAGGGGGCAGGGAGAAGTTTGGTTTTTCGAGAGATTAACGATGGAAAAATACAATTTGGGGAGGATTTTCAATTGACGTTTTGCAGCACGATTTATGCTATCACCGGTTTTTATGGAGGATTAATAGGAATATATATATTTAAGAATATAATTTTCCTATTTTTGCTAAAGGGCAAATCAGCCATAAAAAATAGTAGGGGGTAATAGCAATATTGGACTTATGACTTGGATTTCAGGGAAGAGAATCTAGTAATGGAGGGTCTATAGAAAATTACCCAAACAAAATGTATAACTATAAGATAAATGCATAAATTAACTAAAAAATAAGACAGATAAGTAAGAATATATCAGAACATGTATAAGTACAACAATTAGAAGATTGGTGCCCACAAGAAACCAACCCTCATTGTAGTTGAAATGCTCACACTGGGACTGCCGGGATTCGATCCCAGAACCTTGTACCAACTTACCATCTCCTGAACCAGTTGAGCTACACCCATACAGGCTTAATATCTAATCATGAATATATATAATTTAGTTTTATTAAAAAAAATAGATTTATTTAAAGTTTTATTCTATTGATGGTGGACAATGGTAGGAATATCGGAGTCGTTTATTATTATTGTGTAACAGCCATAACTTATGGTAATGATATGGGAAATTATCATTACCACCAAAAAATACTATACAGCGGGTTGTAGTTACTTTCCAAAAATACAGAGTTGCATGGTTATGTTAAGCTCAAATTTGAAAAATTAAAATTATACTATATGAATGTGTCTATATATTTGTCCGGCTAAACATTACACATTACTTTTAGGGGAAAGTACAGTTTACACCCCTAAACTATGGATCATATCACAAACACCCTTAAACTACAAAATATGACAAATCAACCCATCCGTTTCAAATCCGTTTGTATACGCTCATGGGCCTGTTGACTTTTACTTTTTTAATAACTTTTATTGTTGTTGAATTTCTTTTGACTATTTTACCCCTTGATAGCATGTGCTATCTATATGTATGTATATATGTATGTATGTATATATGTATATATACTTGTTTGATTTCCATTTTAATTTCAAAACTAAATAAAACCATTAAAAATAAAAAATCGATCGAATTCTAATTTTCGCCCAAATTCAAAAAAAATCAAAATCAAAAACTTCTGAAAATTCTTGGGGTAATTTCGCTAGCAGTACAACTGAACAATTGCATCTCAAAGTCGAAGTAGGAAAATTTAGAAAGAGATTTTGCAGAAAGAAAGAGAAGATTCACAATTATTCGTAGGCAATGGTGAATGAGGAGGGAGAGAGGGGATGGTGTAGGAACTTCATTAGGTGAAGACAGTGATTCCATGCTCGACGATTTGGTAGTCGAAGATGGGGCTGCGGAGTTACAATGTGATTAAACAGTCAGCGCGTGTGACGGAGTTTTGGCTGGGGCCGACGAGTGGTGTGTAATCGGACATTATGGATGGAGAACGAGACATCAACTGCCTCAAATCCTTGCTTGCACAATTAATTGAGGGATAATTTATGTTCTTTTGGTAATTAATTGAGGTTTGTCCCAAATCATTGAATTTTGCGAACCCATTAAATGTACGTGGTTTTGCTCTTCTGATTTTTACAGAGTAGGTTATAAAGATTTGTTTTTTGTGGTTAATATGTTTAGGTCCCTCCTACCAAATTTAATTAGAATTAAATTACAACCTCAAACTAATTTTTTTAAATACACCCATATTTTAAAATATAATATGACACACATCCTTTCGTTTTTTTTAATTCCTAATTTGCCCTTATACCCTAAATATAACCTCTATTTTACAGTTTTTTAAACCATATATGTTTCTTTTTTCAATTCTCTCTCTTTCTCTCGCTTCTCTACTTTTATCTCGCTGTTTCCTCTCTCTTTTATCTCTCTTTTATCTATCTCTCTCAATTATGGTGGGATACTTATGGAGACTATATTGTTAATTGACTGGTCACCGAGACGTTTTTCAAATCGGATCTTGATGTGGGCAGCGGTGGTTCTGGTTGTTGGTGGCGGCGGCAGTAGTTCTGGTATAAATGGCAACGTGGGTGGGGTTTGTGGCATCTTTAGCGACGTGGTGATGTTAGCGTCGCAGATCTAGGGTTTGGTGGAGGAGATATACGGTTTGGTGGAGCGAATCTAAAATTTTTCGATTTCATGTCTATAGATGTCTATGAGTATCTATGGGTGTCTATGGTGTGTGGCGGCTAGGGTTTAAAGGAAGAATTAGGGTTTTAAGAATACATGACTACGGATTACTACAGTTTTCTACAAGTGTCTATACGCGACTACGGATACTACGGTTTCCTACGGATTTCTATAGAAGACTACGGTCGACAAAAATAAAAATAAAAATCATAATTTTCAATATTATGTAGAAAATAATTGGAAAAAATACGAAAATGCAAAAAAAAAAAAAAAAATTGTTCTACGAAAAAAAATAATAACAAAAATGCTAGATGCGAAAATAAAAATGTTAAATGCATAATGAAAAAATGATAAATACAGTTTAAATATTACTTAGTGCATATTTCATTTTTTGTATGTGGGGGCATTTTTGTAATGAAATTTATAAAGGATGTGAAGCAAATGTTCAGTTAGACTTGTTATTTAGTTCAAATACATTTTGTCACTAGGGACCTATATCTTAAAGCCCCTTGTTTTTTTTAGGAGACAGGGAGAAGAAGTTAAGATTGGGTGATGGAGCCAAAGATGTTTTTCCTCATAGAGGTTTTGAGGGGCACAAAGGTAAATGACTTAATTTGTTGAACAAAAAATTGTAAATGACTCAAATCTTAACGGTGCCATTGTTTTTAACGTTGACCCAAAATATCAGGGGCTATTTCGTTACGTTTTGTAGTTCAATGGGGTGTTTAAGACAAGTCCTATGATTCAGAGGTGCAAACTGTATTTTCCCCTTAATGTTATGACGGCACGTAACTCAAATTAATTCTATGTGTTTGATTATAGCTAATATATATAAATATATAAAATATAAGATATAAAGAAACAAATAACAATAACGTACATTGAATTTGAAAAAAATATAAGAAACTTATACGTGATAAAATAAAGTATTAGAAAAAAAAAAACATAATTAAACATTCTTGAAAAGAATGGATTTTTTTGAAAAAACATAACAATTTACACTATATTATTAGTATACGATATAACCATGGTATCAAGAAGGTTTTAGACTGTGTCACATCAGTTTTATCATTCATAAGCACACAAAACACACACCCACAGTGATGTGTGTAAATCAACGATAAATATTACACACACCCACAGTGATGTGTGTAAATCAACGATAAATATTCATTCGATGTAACCTCACCCAATGTCGCATAGAAATAACACAAGAAACGATAACAAACAAAAAGCAGCATTAATTATAGTCAGCAAATCTATAAAATTGTCACAAGAAACTAAATTTAACAAGTAATACACATTAAAAGTGCCACCAAAAAAACGAGGTGGTATAGATAACAAGCAAACCACTATATCTCAAAAAAAAAAAACATAAAAAACAAAGACAAAAACAAAATTAGTAAAAAAAATCCTTATTTAAAATGCTAAATTTACAAACACTGAGAGTTCGCCACAAAAATGTTTGCCACATTTACGGTTCCCGAGTATGGATCATAGGCCAGCCAAGAATCCTAGTAGGCGACCCCATCGGACTCGAGTCCCGGCTCAGATTGAACAAACTCAGTTCCACAAAAGTTCCGGAACCTTCATCTATTTCCTTTGTCCGAAAAGAAATCGATCCACGCGCAGAGTTTCTTGGGCTACTACTCACCATACTTTCCTCGTTAGCGATTAGTGAAACGGATTCGTTATTACCGCTTCTAGAAGCTTCTAGATCATCCCCTTGCGGGCTTCTCAAAGCTAAAGAATCGGCAATTGGAAGGTACACAAGCATGCATATACCGACACCCGCACAGCACAGAAAGGAAAGGAAGGCCAGGAATACGACGGCCTCGAATACACTGCTCTCGGGCTTAGATAGAACAGACAAACCGAGAAGCACGACTCTTAATGGGAAAAAACTCGAAATGGAAAACACTAATGTGTACACTCTTTTCTGCATGCCCTTATTGATCACCAAATTAAGTATTCGCCTACCGAGCCAGCACAGGTAGATGGTTAGCACAAGGGCGAAAAGTCCGAGAAATGAAGTGCTCAATAAAGGGTAAGTGCAGAGGGCAATATCGTCACTTTTAATAGCTGATTTGATGAAATAAGAAGGCAATTTGAGGATGTGCTTTTGGTGTTCCTCATAATTCGATCCGACTAAAATAATTACGAGCTGGAGAATGAAGATTGGCGAGCAACAAAGGAGAACAAAACCAAATGTTGTGGCGTTCCATTTTTGGCTTAGAGCTCCCGTTTTTTGCAACGAACCGCGGAGGAGGAAAGCTAGAGTGAGAAAGAGGCAAGGTTCGGCGAATCCCAGGTTCGAGATTATGTAGCCTTTGCAGAGATTCTCTTGCCATTTCGAACTTAGTGCATTCAAGAATGTTCCGTTGTGTCTTAGTAGATTTAAGCGGATGATTTCCCCGAAACCCCACCACGTGGCGAAGAAGATGTACGCGATTCGGATAATCCAAGGGCCGCTGAAGTAGTTGAGCTGAACAAGGGCTTGGCTGCGGATTTTATTTCGAAAGTAGAAGGAATATACGATGCAAAATAAACCGAGGAGGACTAGTAGAGCAACGAGACAAATTGTCACCACACTGAGTGCATCAGCAGCAAAACTCGTCTGTGGCATTACCCAAAGCACAGAATCCACGCATGCTCTCCGCCAGCATGGACAACGAAAAAAGAATATTCCCCTATCAAGTATCGGATTCCTCAGAAGCTAACCCCTGCAATAATAACACGTGTGTATTTCAGTGTTTGTACGTATTTACAAATTTATCTGAGTGAGATGCGTATAAGAGCCAAACAATTCCATTCAATAATTACATATGCTAGATTAAGCCTCGTGTCCTGTTAAACTTAACCAAACCGCAGACACACATATGGAAACATACAAACATGCCGGAAATCTGGACTATCTAATAATATTTTTATCTCTCGTAACGCAAATTCTGGCCGCAATATTTCCTATTTGTTCGACACGTGGTAAATCAACATGCATTTCTCATGGCAACATAACATAGAGAATGACAACCGACAATCTTTTAATTTAGAAAGAGGCCAGCGAAGAAAAAAAAAGGCGAAGACAAAAGCAATTACGTGCGCAACAAAACTTCACCAAAATTAATCGAACACTACGTAATTGGTTATGTGTCGAAAGTCGAAAACCCCCTTTACAAGGCGCGTCGAGCACCTATAAAGTTGTATATGTAGCAACCGAAAAAAACGACGCACTCCGATTACAGCATCTACGGCACAATGTTGTGCGGCTGAATTAAATTCCGTTATAATAATTTAGATTCCAAGCAATAATCTTCAGAATTTAAAACTTCCCAGCCCTAATTAGAATCAGATTCACCCATTGAATTTTTTCTTCAAACTACACAATTTATTACTTATATCTTAATTCACCACATATAATTAGAAATATTTAACCAGCCAATTAACTTTCAACAATTCAACCTAATGAAGAACATTAATCCATAAAAATTAGCACAAAAAGGAAAAATTACATGAAACAAGGCACACGAAAAATCTCGAAAACCTTCAAAAAAATGCACATTCTCGCCGAATTAATTAATTAAAAAAGAAAAACTCAAAATCCACCGTTCAAAAATATAATTAACAAAAAATAAAAGGATCTGTAGAAAGCTTACAACTCTAGAAGCGAAGATCCGGCAAACTGAGACGACGAATCTGAAATCCAGCGAAGAACCCTAGCGAGAGAGAGAGAGAGAGAGAGAGAGAGAAAACAAAATCCAGCGAAAAACACCAGAGAAAAGTTTGTGCGATAGAGAGAGAGAGAGAGAGAGGGGGGGGGGGGAGGAGAGAGAATCAAATAAGTTAAGTAGAGGGTTATTGTAAGGAGGATGGCTTGTGTGCACCGTCCCACAATACTACGTATACTTACTATATATCCTTATATATTAGGTATTAGCTATATTATATATTTTAGTTAATACACATACATCCCTAAGTATGCTAAATACTGAACTCCATATGGTATTGTAATTACAGTCACATCCCTGAAACAATTAATCGTAAAAAACCTTTAACAAAATAACTTATCAATCCAATGCATTATTCTGCTAGGGTTTCCAACAATGTTTTAGGGGTGATTGTAAATACCGATATCATAGGACCTTAAAGTTATATTAGTATACCTCAGGTATATGTGTAATTTACCCTTATTATTATTTAGGGAAATTACGGCTACCTCTGTTGTAAGATCAAATCACGAAAAAACATTCACGTTTCGGTTATTGCAACCACTCTCAACTATGAATCTTCTTGGAGTGCACGTCCACCTTTATGGTGTCGCATTCAACATTATCTTCTAGATTTCGTGGAACGTTCTCTAATTTGTACTCGTTTTGTGCAAAAATGCAATTTCTGATGCACCACAATCTGATATTTATAAGCTTGGAGACACATACATGATCATTTTGTTTCAAAATATGGATCTCGAATGGGATAAAATGTACAAATGGAGAGTATTCCACTTAATCTAAAAGATTCCACTAAATTTTACATCGTAGCGGTAGACATATGAGAAGATTCGTAGTCGAATAAGGTGATTGTAATTACTCAAATATGAGAGGTTTTTTTTATAATGTGTCCTTACCTCAGGGTGGTGACAGTAATTTAGCCTATTTTTATTAGACCCAAAAAATAATAAAAACTTGTAATATTGGTATACTCTCCCTACCCAAAACTGTGGGTGGTATATCATTTTCCCCTTTATCAATTTAATTAGGTAATGTTTATGTAAAAATAAAATAAAAATCAATAAGGTATAATATATACCTAAACATTAAAATACAATGAAAATTAGCTCATAGTCCCTTGTATGCAAGTCAAAATTCTTTTTTAGTTCAAATTTTTATTTAATAAAAGTTATGTAACTAATGTTTCAAATATGCCACCGTGTTACCTTTTATTTTTCATATATATATATATAAGTATAACTGAAGTTCGATCAAATTTATTTGAAGCGATATGCAGACAAGTTGTTAGCTTTAATACGGAAGCACGTCAAACTTTTGCAATATGTCGTCGTTTAGAACTTCAAAAAACCTTCTTTTTTGTAATATATATATTAAATTTGTAAATTGTATAACTGATAGTTGAAAATTCGGATTTAATCGTGCCAATTAAGTTGTTTTTAGAATCTAAAGTTCTATCGGATACGACTTTAAATGTTTATTTTACCATTTATGGTTTTTTTTCCTTCCCTTTTTGGTACCATTTTTGTACTTTTCTAGTTTATTTTTGAGTGTTAATAAAAAAAATTACAATTTTTATACATATTAGGTTTAATTTTGTTTTCTTTTTTTAATTTTCGCCCAAATAATACGGCGATGAAATTATGAAAAATTATTAGTTTAACAAATATGATAAACTTATAAAATCGGCAACGAACGAATGAAACCGGTATATATTTCATATTTTTTCTTAAAAAATATGAAATAAAAAATAAATTGATATCCAAGTTTATGATTTCGTTTAGATTGGAATTAACTTTTAATCTTCAAAATTGAAATAATGAACTTGAATTCGTCTATTTCAAATAGGCCCGACTGGGTGTTGAAATTGCAACGAATTTTTAAAATTTTGCCCATTCCTTTTCATTTTTTTAGAACAATATTTTTCATTCCAAATTTCATGCAGTTTTTCGATTTTCTTTATGTTTTTTATCAAAATCGAACATACGAAATCCCGGTCCATTTATTCTCGAGAGTTACACATATATATAATATTATTATCATCGCTTGTATTATCAATCAATGAATTAAAAATATAAAACTTTCGAATTGTATTAGTGATGTCTAAATTCGTAATTTCACTCATAGACCCGACCCATATACCCGTTACTAAAACTGGACCTTTTATCAGGTTGTTCAATAAAAAAAGTGCCTATTAAAATTTCAATTTTCAATTTGTTGGTGATTTTCCGATACCTCATGAAAACCAGTGAACATTCTTCGCTCAGTTGTTATCCATTCCCACTCCGATTTCGGTGCGATAAATGGGCAATCGCTGTGAGTTTTAATTCCTCTCTCTTCTTCTTCCGCCATGATTATGTCAGTATTTTAATTTTTTTAATTTTTTTTGGAATTTTATATTTACTGAATTGCCAATGCCCTCAATTCTGCGTTGAACTGTAGAATTAAGTAATGAATTACTCTTTTCCGATTAAAAAGTTCACGTTTTTTTTGTTTCAATTGAAGTGTTTTTTTTTAGTTGCTGAAGTGTTTTTTTTTTTTTTTTTTTTTTTTGTGCTGATTGAGCGATTGGGGATTCTTCTGTGGTTTCTTGGTAGCTAGTGATAATGCAATTGCATTTGCAGTCTTTTGTTTTATACTTGTTGGTTTGGATGCATCCGTACAATGTCTGCGTTTCGTGATTACGAGGTATCGTCGGTTGAACACTAATCAGTAATCAGATCTTTTATATTCGACTAATCGAAGCCATAACATTTCGAATCTATGTGCACAATTCTTCAAAAGAGAAAAATAGCCTGGCCGTTGGTTTTGTGCGTGTATATACACGGTTCCTTTTTTATAAGTTGGACTGAATTTTGTAGCTTTTTTTTTTCGTCTTCTAATCCGATTTTCTTGCTTTATGGTCAGAAGAAATCGAAGTTCCAGTTTTGTGATTTAGTCCATTCCCGTATTTAGTAGGACTAAATTTTGTAGCTCTTTTTTCGTCTTCTAATCCGATTTTCTTGTTTTTTGGTCAGAAGAAATCGAAGTTCCAGTTTTGTGATTTAGTCCATTCCCGTATTTCCGAGAATGGCTGTTCTTCCAGTACCGTATGTGATGCAACCACATTGCGTAGGAAATGAATCTTTCGAATCGTCTAAGTCGTTTCCCACCAGCCATGGAAGATATGGGAAAAGGGTGACAAGCGATTCTCGTAAATTAGATTTCAGACGGATAAATCTCCACGGAGGACAATTCGCGAAACCCATAGGAAGGATTTCTTGCAGCCATCATGTAACGAAAGCAATAGCTACTTCAGATGTTTCTGCGGTGAAAATCCTAGAAAACGTACTAACTTATCGATTTTGGATGGAGATCGGTGGTCAATTGAAGGTAATGGTTAAAAAGAATAATAATAACAAATATGGAGTTTATGTCGAAGTCGAATCTTTACAACTTGATGAAGAACAACGAGAGCTAATTATGATCTGGGGGATTTTCAGAGATGATTTGACAAAATTTATGCCAGTTCAACAATCAAGCACTGATGGCACCACCGAAACCCCATTTGTGAAAGATTGTGACAGGTTGTCCGTTGAGCTTGAATTCGAGGAAAGTTTAGCGCCTTTTTACGTCTCGATATTATTAAAGTCCAAATTAGGTTCCAACTCGAAAACCTCGACAATCAGAAGCCACAGGAAAACAAATTTCATCGTGCCTGTAGGTTTTCGCTCCGGGCGTCCTTCTCCATTGGGCATTTCTCTCTTAAATGACGGATTTATAAATTTCGCCTTCTTCTCACGCAATGCATACAGTGTTGTACTCTGTCTATACGCAGACACCACAGTAGACAAACCTGCTCTGGAGATTGATCTCGATCCATACGTAAATCGATCAGGTGATATTTGGCATGCTTCGATAGATTGCTCCTCTTTGCCATTCGTTAGCTACGGTTATCGATGCAGGAGCAGTAGTACCGACAGTAAAGGGCACCGTGTTCTGCCCGATCCATACGCTAAGGTTATCGAAGAATTTGGACCTCGAAAATGCCTTGGAAGATTGTGCAACGAATCTGCATTTGATTGGAGCGGCGAATCTCGCCCCAATTTACCGATGGAGAAACTGATTGTCTATAGGTTGAACGTTGCACGTTTTACGAACGATAAGTCCAGTAAATTACCTCGTGATATTGCTGGAAGTTTCTCCGGTATTTCCGATAAATTGCATTATTTCAAGAATCTTGGTGTGAATGCTGTCTTATTAGAGCCGATCTTCCCCTTTGACGAACAAAAGGGACCCTATTTCCCGTGGCATTTCTTTTCTCCGGGGAGCTTATATGGACCCTCTGGCGATCCGAGTAAAGTTGCTAATTCGTTGAAGGAGATGGTGAAAAAGCTGCACGCTAATGGAATGGAGGTATTACTGGAAGTTGTTTTCACACATACTAGTGAGATTTCAGCACTGAGAGAAATCGATAACTCGTCTTATCACCATGTCGAAGGAGGGGAGGAATTGAAATCAAGAAACTCGTTGAATTGCAATTACCCAATTGTCCAACAAATGATCTTGGAGTGTCTCCGTTATTGGGTGACCGAGTTCCACATCGATGGCTTCTGTTTCATCAATTCATCCTCTCTCACGAGAGGCTTCCATGGCGAGTTCCTCTCTCGCCCTCCATTGGTCGAAGCTATTGCTTTCGATCCTTTACTTTCAAAAGTCAAGATAGTGGCGGACTCGTGGGACCCACATGAAATGGAGATGAAAGAAATTGTTTTCCCTCACTGGAAGAGATGGGCGGAGATGAATGCGAAATTCTGCTCCGAAATGAGGAATTTTTTTAGGGGTAAGGGTTCGATAAGCAGCCTCGCAACTCGTCTATGTGGCAGCGGTGATCTCTTCTTGGGTGGGCGGAGCCCGGCCTTCTCTTTTAACTTCGTCACGAGAAATGTGGGTCCCACACTCGTTGACTTGGTCAGCTATAATAGCATCGAATCGAGCTGGAATTGTGGGGAAGAGGGCCCCACAAATAAGATTCTTGTACTTGAAACAAGGCTTAAGCAGATACGCAATTTTATATTTGTCTTGTTTGTGTCTTTGGGTGTGCCGGTGCTTAATATGGGAGACGAGTGTGGCCAATCCACCAGAGGCTCGCCGGAATATTCCGACAGAATATCCTTCGATTGGAGTGCGTTGAAATCGGGTTTCGGTACTCAGGTGACCGAGTTCATTTCGTTTTTGAGCTCGCTGAGAATAAGACGAAACGATCTTCTTCAGAAAAGAAGCTTCTTGAAGGAAGATAACATCGAGTGGCATGGGGCTGAGGGGGGCCCACCCATGTGGGACGATCCGTCGTGCAAATTCTTGGCGATGACTTTGAAGGCCGATCCACCGTTGAGTGACTTGTTTGTTGCCTTCAACGGCGGTGATTGTTCCGAGAAAGTTGCTCTGCCGCCACTTGCCGCAGTTGATACAAATTGGGTTTGTTTGGTCGATACTTCGCTTCCTTTTCCGGGGTTTTTCACCGAGGAAGGTGTTCCTTTGGAGGATGGATTAGAAACGTACGAGATGAAGTCTCATAGCTGTGTATTATTCGAAGCTCGGAGCTTTATCTGAGAGGTAACCTGCTATTATATTTTATTTTTTATTCCATAAGGGGTTCGGTATATATGTCCCCATTTTTGGTGCAACGATGCTCGAATAAAGTGTGGCGCTATTTGCTCGTTACAACTAGGTAAACTGATCTATTACTTCTTGGTTCTTTGAATTGATTAGCAGTTAATTTATAATGTGCTTGCTTAAAAACGTATTTTTTATCCGCGTCTTGTCTTATTTTTTTTTTCTTTATGTCTGAATCGAGTAAGGCCTCGTTCGGTTAGGTAGATTAGATGTTTGTCTGAAAATCGACTAAGTAAATAATTGGACTTTGTTTGCTGCTTGGTAAACACAATAATTTTTCTGAGTAAACCCAAGCTACATATATACCCTACTATTGTGTAAGAACATAATTGGCAAAAAAATCTATACTCAACCACCTTTTGTCCCATTGTTATAAATTGCAAAGAACAATCAATTTTATTGCAAGGCTACTAAGTCAACTCTCCTCTCATGTAATAAGTTCAAGTTGACTTTTCACCTTCACTATAATTTAATTTAAGTTTGAAAAAAAGAAGTATAACAAATTTGAAAAGTATTCTCATCTTGCTAATGGAATTAAATAAACATATATATATTTAAAAAAAAATTATAAATATTTTTTTTAGAAAAAGTCAATGGCAATGGTCCAAATCATATGACTTCACCCACAAACATAATCAACTTTGAATATTTCTCAAAAAATAAATGATAGTAACATCTCTACATTTTGTCCTAATGTATATTAAACTATAGCTATTTTTATTACTTTATTTTATTTTTTTGTTGCTCTTTTCTAACTTTATAAAACTATCATACTAAAACACCAATCAGCAACTACATTTCAGATACACGTTTTTGTCAATTTTAATTCTTTAATAAACTAGATTTTGAAACATGATTTTTTGTTCCAATTTTTTATATCTCCGATTTATTTTTAACATAATTGATGTTAATTTTTTATGATCGAAAATTTCTAATTTTGAAACATGATTTTTTGTTCCAATTTTTTATAATTCCGGTTTATTTTTAACATAATTGATGTTAATTTTTTCAGCTTTGAAAAGATTGGATTTTTTTTTCAAATGTGCTAATTCTGATCCGATCTGCTCAATTTTAACCTATAAAGTACATTACATTCCCGAGATTGAAAACGAGGAGGATTAGGGGTGGAAATTTCCTCAATTTCGATTCGGATTCCAAAAATTCCAAATTTTGAATTTTCCGATTTCGTACACTGTATATCAACAGTATTATGTATTTATATTATAGGTGGTTAAAAAAAAATGAAAAATCGAAATCCCGTCGATTACTCTTCAAAAACTTCTGATTTTGAGACAAGTTCCATCATTTTCAATTTTAGAAATTCTCATTTTCAATTTTATTAATTGAACTATACTTTATTTTGTTAACTTTCGAAAAAAAGAACGTTCTTTCGAAAGTGCTAATTTCGATCCGATTTCTCCAGATAAAAAGTATTAAATTATTATAATTTTTTAATTATTCAGTGCCGTCGGACCCACTTTATGTTTCTAAACGCCACGTGTCATCATCTGACTAGGGTGTTAAAAAAAATTGAAGTGCGCCCGGCCCGGCCCGGCCCGACTTTACAGTTCTGTGCCTCTCTCTCTCTCTCTCTCTCTCTCTCTCTCTCTCTCCTGATGAAATCTTGGTTCTATTTTTTTTTTTTTCTCATCATCGGCATTTTAATGGAAACTGATTAATATTTATTCATTTAATTAAATTTCTTTTTTTCGATTTCGAACCGAATATCAATCGGTTATTCGCATTTCTCGGCACTCACCAGATCCGAAAATCTCTCTCTCTCTCTCTCTCTCTCTCTCTCTCTCTCTCTCTCTCTTAATTCCCACCCTTTGTGTTTTTTTAACCGCTAATTTTTGTAATTTGTAATAAACATAGAAAATCAGTTGTATTTTGGGGATGAAATCAGTGGCTGTAGTAAATCGACAAACAGAAAATTCAGGAACAATCGTTCCCGGAGCAACATTTCATGCTTCAGATTGATTTCAGTTTCTCTCGTATGTCATTCTTCTCTTTCTCTCTCTTCACCCAGAAAAAAAAAACAACAACGATCAGATTTCTTCATTTTTTCAACTCATTTTGTTTATTGTAACAAATTGCATTGTCTATTTTTGACAATGTGGGTTGGTTTCTGTTGAATAAGATCTGATTCTGTAATCTGGGTTAATCTGGGCTGGGATTTCCGTTCAATTTTTCCTTTCGGGCTGTGATTCGTCTGCGTTTCCGAATTCGATTGGAGTTATTTTGAATTGTTTGGGGGAATGCTGTTCATTTGGGAGAAGAATTTGAAAATTTTAGGTTTTCACATTTGAATTTGGGGCTGGAATTTCGTGTTATCGAAGAGGATCTTTGATTTGTTACGAATTTTGATTTAGGGCATTGATGATGCTGTTAATAAGAGTCTTGATAAATGCTGGAGGTATTAGAGAAAAATAAACTTACTTTATGTTTTAGGAACATCAGGTTTCCTGTTAACAAGAACAGGGGCCTGAAACTCACATTTGGCATGGGCTGCGTTTGCTCCAAAGGGACGAAAGATGAAAACAAAGTCAAGAAAGAGAAAGGGTCGAAGAAATCCTCGAAAAAGTTTGTAGCATCCTCGAGGAACGATGAAATCGTGGTGGAGGTTGATAACGGGGGCAATGATGCGACCGCGAGGCTTATATCAACAGAGATCGCCGACAAAAGCGCGGGGTCCACCCCTGCCTTGTGGGAGGAGGGTGATAAAAATCCTACGGTTTTTGAGAAAGCTGTAGTGGCACAAACGCAAATACGTCCGACAATCGAACCTGGACAACAAGGAGGGCAGCCTCAATTGTCTAGGGTATTAAGTATCAGAAACGGTGTCGATGGTGCACAAGTTGTTGCCGGATGGCCTTCGTGGCTGACGTCTGTGGCTGGAGAAGCTATCAAGGGTTGGATACCTCGAAAAGCAGACTCTTTCGAGAAATTGGATAAGGTATATTCTTTCTTTTTTGTAGTGACCTGTTTAGATACTATATAGTGTGTTCTTTTTTGGTTTCTATTTTAGAGTTTAATGCAATTGTCTCACTCTTTGCTCGTGTGATTCTCTCATTTTTTTGTCTATATGTAAGAAAAATGAGTAAGTGAGCTAGAAAGATGAGTAGGGAGTTGGATAAGGTATGCTGTAGTATATTTTTGTTCGGCTATACATATGCCACGTATCGTGTATATTCAATTATTTATTATTATTTGATCGTCACTTGTCGGCACTGCGTAGTGCATCCCTTTCTTTTGGTTTATATATGTAAGAATGGTGAGTAGGAAATCGAGAAAGGTGAGTAGGAAAAATTGGGAATTCGTGTATTTGCACATTAGAATTCGTGTCACTGCTTTGATGTGAAAAGCTTGCATAAATTTCATCGCCTCTTAGTTGGTATGAAATATTCGCATTCTCTCTATTGTTATATTATTGATTAAATTGTTTCTACTTAAATGAAAACTTGACAGATCGGTCAAGGGACGTACAGCAGTGTGTACAGAGCTCGTGATCTCGAAACTGGGAAAGTTGTTGCTCTGAAAAAGGTGCGGTTTGTCAACATGGATCCAGAAAGCGTCCGTTTCATGGCTAGGGAAATCCTTATTCTACGTCGGCTCGATCACCCTAATGTTATGAAGCTTGAAGGTCTCGTCACTTCGAGGGTTTCAGGCAATTTGTACCTCGTATTTGAATACATGGAACACGATCTTTCTGGACTTGCTGCTTCGCCTGTAGTTCGATTTACCGAGCCTCAGGTTTGCTAGTGGTTACTTTTTTTCTTCTTGTGAATATATAACTCATTTTACGCATGGATGCTCGTTCAAACCTTTTCAAAGTTTGAGAGTCTAGATTAAATTAGAAAAATAATGTTTTACAATGCTGTTTATTATCACGAGAAGTCTGTCAAGGGAGATGATGCTGGTGATAGAATTTATTGTGATCTTTTTTATCCATAATTGTTGTGTCTGTTAAATAAAGAGCCATTGATATATTTATAAGAATGAAAACTGAGCAAGATTCGCCTTCGTCATGAACAACACTTGTAGCGATATAGAATGTATAAAAAATAAAGATCACAATAAATTCTAGAGCAAGTTAAATTTTGCATTGAATTAGCTGTTTTTGATGATATGTACCAATCTTATTATCGTTTACTTCTAGAGCAACTCAAAGTGATTTGTCTTTCAAATGTGATATTTAGTAATTAAATTATTTATATATAATGTACACGCAGATCAAGTGCTTCATGCAACAGCTGTTTCGAGGACTTGAACACTGTCACAGTCGTGGAGTCTTGCACCGTGATATTAAGGGTTCGAATCTTCTGATCGACAACTCTGGAAATCTGAAAATCGGTGATTTTGGGCTGGCAACTTTTTTCCGAGCCTATCAAAAGCAACCTCTAACTAGCCGTGTTGTGACTTTGTGGTATCGACCACCCGAGCTTTTGCTCGGTGCTACAGATTATGGAGTATCTGTTGATTTGTGGAGTTCGGGTTGCATTCTTGCCGAACTATTTGCAGGAAAACCAATTATGCCAGGAAGGACAGAGGTATATTTTCAGATTAATAACATTAATTTTTTGGAACGAGTCCATTTAAATTCTAGATTTTCTTTCTTGTATTCTAATTCGATGATTCTCAATTCCGACGGAGAGAGATGTATTCTTTTATTTCTTGGCATCTGAAAACATTATAATTACTCATTAAAATGTTATATTTTTATTATATATTATATTTTTATTTTCCCCAAATTTTAACAATATGAATTTTGTTATAGAAGGCAGGGGAATAAACACATATATGTCGTTGGATCCTCGTAAACACTTGTTAAATCTGTGATTTAAAAGACATTTTCTTCTATTTTACTCGATGCATATGTAAAATAACTGTTCTGCAGCAAATTTCAGGCAAGTTTCCGTTTTTTGATGTTTTTTTAAAAACCCAATTTGATGTTGTGTGCAGGTGGAACAGCTGCATAAAATCTTTAAACTATGTGGTTCGCCCGCAGAAGAATACTGGAAAAGATCAAAACTACCGCACGCAACAATTTTCAAACCTCAACAGCCTTACAGACGATGTGTGGCTGAGACTTTCAAGGAATTCCCTTCTTCGACTTTATCACTACTCGATTCTCTCCTTGCTTTTGAACCAGAGTGTAGAGGAACGACCACTTCTGCTCTTCATAGTGAGGTAAAGTTTCCATTTTTCGGTACATTTTTTTTGTCCAACCCCTCAAAAGTTTAGTGATGATTCGGCACTCTTAATTTGATTCACATTTGCTATACAGCCTAGGAGTTGGTTCTTTGAGCTGTTCAATCTCACATCAGATACTAGATTTAGGTGACAATTGGTTGTCTTAAAAGCTGTTCTTATTTAGACTTTTGTTGGTATAATTCATTTTTTTTTTCGAAAACTGAAAATCAGAATGCAAATGTGTCTGGTCGAAGCATAGTAAACCTTTGTCTACATCAACTATAAATGATTCGTATTTTTTATACAATAAAACTAACCTTCGTCTCCAATCAGCGCACATTCAAATTGTGGGTTTTGGTGCTTCGTCCTTTTTCTTTTTTTTTTTTTACAAATCTCATGTGAAGATTGAAGTTTATTTCATTAATATTTATGCCCTCGCAGGTCATATTTTTTGAATTGCAAATTTTCTTTTCTATCAAGTATAATGCTTATTTTCACTATCTGCGTATTTATAAGGCGTCTCTTTTCAGTTCTTCACTACAAAGCCCCTACCTTGTGATCCTTCATCGTTGCCAAAATACCCACCTAGCAAAGAATTTGATGCCAAAGTCCGAGACGAGGAGGCAAGAAGGTACTTGTATATATATACATAGATAGATACACAGTCCATTTGTATTTTTCACGAAGTTGTGCACGATTATTTCACTGTAGCTATTCAAGTGCAATGAAAGATTTTATCGTTCATACTTTCTATACAGACAAAGAGCAGCTAATGGAAAGGGAGGCGGAGCGGAATCTTCTAGAAAAGGATCAAAAGATTCCAAAGCAGTCCCGGCACCCGATGCTAACGCTGAACTGCAAGTCTCAATACAGGTATATCTATCTACTTACATATATATACACATGCAAAATACTGCATTAATATTTCATGAAAGTTAAACGTAGTAGTTTATGGTATTTTAGAAACGGAAAGGACTTGCGAACCCGAAGAGCAATACCGAGGTTTACAATCCAAAAGGAGATGGTGAGTCCGGCTTTCTGATGGAAGCTTCTAGAACCTTGGATGCTGTGGACGAGGGGCGCCACCTCAGCTCTTACAGGGGATTGGATTCGTCTGGATATAGAGAGTTAAAGACTCAGAGATCTTTTAAGCCACAAACAACATCTGCACGGTTGTCAAAATTCTCGAATTCGGTGGCGTCTCGTGGCAGCTCACAGCTCGATTTTAGTAGAGACTCGAGCATTCATTCTCATTGGCCGAACAACAACAGATACGAACAGATGAACGATGCTGAGTCATCCAACCATTTACTCGGAAGACCTAATTCTCCCCACAAGAATAATAATGGAGAAGCCCCTCTCAAGGAGACTGATGCGGTAAGAATTTTACGAATGTGACTTTTTTTTTTAAGGTTTCTCGTTTGGGAATGTTGATGGGATTGATAAGATTGTTTGAATTGGAGATTAGCCATGATTAACTAAATAACTGGACTTTGTTTGATATTTGGTAAAGCCAATAGTTTTCCGGGTCGGCCAGGAAATATTATTTTATCATGGCCTATATTGTCTATCAAGTATCAAGTCCTATCCTAATTTTCAAAAAAACGAGGCCCGATTGGTGAATTGTCCCTTTTACCCTTAACCTTAAACGGAAGGAAAAAGTCGAGTGTTTCTTTGATATATATATATTTTGATGACAGGTATATGCACTAAAGAAGACACGAATGCACTATTCTGGACCGTTATTGCCTCACGGTGGAAGTGTGGAGGAAATGCTGAAAGAGCACGAAAAGCAGATTCAGATAGCCGTAAGAAAAGCTCGCGAGAAGAACAATACAAGGAAAGCACAAAACGATAATGGACAAACCGATTTACTCCTAGGATATGTAAGTAACGGCCGCTGATTTTTTACGTAAAGAGAAAAAAAACACTTATGTGCTGCTTCAAGAAAATGTACATTCCTCTTTTACCCCTCGAAACCAGCTGATGATATTTCAGTTGAAGGTATTATTATTATTATTATTATTATTATTTATTTCTTTTAGCCCAAAGTCTCGGAGAGATGAGGTGGCAAACTAATATCGATCTTACGGAGTGGGCGGGAATCTTTTTGGGCGTGTAAGGTCGGTCGTAAACAGTATCGATTCATGTACAGTTTTTAAACACAAAAGAAAAAAACTGTAAAAATCCTTATGAGGACTGTAAAAATTCTTATGAGGACTGGAAACAGACTATATATTAGATTTGATTTTCATTATTACTTTCTTGTCGTTGCCTCTGCTATAACTTCTATTTATTTATTTATTTGTTTATTTATGTAAAAAAATTGTTTTTATTTTCATTACTATAGTTTTTGCCTTTTTTGGTATTTTTTTGTCTTTTCCTATTTTAATTATCATGCAATAGAACCATTCTAGTGAAAATAGGAAAATATATTTTTGAGAAAAAAAAAGTAGTGATTTTTATTAAGCGTAATACGGCATATCAACCCGAAGGATAGAACCTTCGGTGCAAACGTTTCAGACTTCGAAGCTAAAATGTGCGCGCTTAACAAAAGAAAAAAAAATACGAGATTTGAAATAAAGAAAATAGAGATAAAATTTTCTCAATATAGGCACCGTGAATGGATGACGAGAGAATCCCAGCTTGCAGATCACCGATAACTCGCAAAAAGCCACCAACCAAAATAATCGATCTCCAATACTTCTCCACTGCCGTTGGCCGTCCAATGAATTTATGAACAACCCACCAATGTCACACACCTTCCCGATTTTACGCAACCATAGAAACCGAGTAGATCATTCTTACTCCTCTATCATATCATTAGTTTGGGCTGCCTGTTTTGCCCGCTATTGTTAATAGGTTTTTATTTTTTGGCAGCTGTTATTTTTTGGCCATTTTCGGGACGTAGCGTATCACATGAAACATCATTATGTTCTCATCGATTTTTGATCTATAGACAAATAGGGGGTTCAGCACAATGTAATAATAATTTTAGTTGTTCTCTTAACTTCATATCAACGTAACACAAACACTATAATCTAATTATATTATAAGGTCAATAAATCATTATCCCACACCAAACTTTTTGATCCACCAGCAAAATCAAAATTAAAAAAAAAAAAAAAACAAAACCCTTTTTTTAATTTTGCTTCATCCAAAATCTTTGCAGTTCTCTTGTCTTTATCAAACACATAGAATTTAATTACAGATACACACATCACTTAATCACTACGCCTTAACACATATATTATAGCACCCCTTCTATTTTTTACCTATTCCTCCTCCAAACAATAATCAAGAATCAAGAATCAAGGAATCAAGAATCCAAGAATCCAAGAATCAAGAATATATACTCAAAAGAAAAGAAGAAGATATGAGGCCAAAAACAAAGAATCCATTCAACCTCAAGCTTCTCATAATCCCCACAACCCTAGTTTTTTTCCTCATCTTCATCTTGAGATCAAATTTATCACCATCTTCCAATATTACGACTTCGCCACGATCTAATATTCGTCAATCCAAATCCCTCCCGAAGACGAAAGCCGAGATGAAGTGTCCGAAAAATTATTGCGGAAAAATCCCACAATCCATATCGGAAGCCCTAATCCACTACTCGACCTCGACCATCACACCTCAACAAACGCTCGAAGAGATATCAATCACGTCGAGAATCTTGGAAGAATATTCCCCATGCAACTTCCTCGTATTCGGCCTCGGCCACGACAGCCTCATGTGGCACTCGTTGAACCACGGCGGACGGACGGTCTTTCTAGAAGAAGACGAGTCTTGGATCGAGCAAATCAAGAGAAGATTCCCCATGTTGGAATCTTACCGCGCAAGTTACGGCACGAAAGTCAGCCAAGCCAATGATTTGATGCACGTGGGGAAAGGGATCGAGTGCACGGCGGTTTCGGACCCTAGGTACTCGGTGTGCCAGCTGGCGTTGAAGGGCTTGCCGAGCGAAGTTTACGAGGTGGAGTGGGACTTGATAATGGTGGACGCGCCCACGGGGTATTACGAGGAGGCGCCGGGGAGGATGGCGGCGATATATACGGCCGGGATGATGGCCAGGAACCGGCGGCGGCGGGGCGGAGGCGGCGGTGGTGGGACCCATGTGTTTGTGCATGATGTGAATAGGGAGGTGGAAGATAAATTTTCAATGGAGTTTCTTTGTGAGGGGTATTTGAAGAAACAAGAAGGGAGATTGAGGCACTTTGTTGTGCCTAGTCATAGGGATGATTTGGAAAGACCATTTTGCCCCTAATAGAAAAAAATTAATATAGAAGTTAATTCTTTTGCATTATTAATTTCTTGATTCTTTTTTTGTTTTATTTTTTTTCTTCCTATTTTTGTTTTGATGTTGGACTTGTAAAAGAAGTTGAATGTTGAGAAATGGAGGCGAGAGGTTTGAAATAATGATGAGGTGGAATTTTAAGAGTGTTAATCGGACTGATCGGACGAAATTTGTTCTTTCAGGAAAAAAAAAAAGAAGAAGTGAAAAACTAATTTCAATTATATCCAAAGTAAAAGAATTGAAGTTAGGAATTTCGGAAATTGGAATAAAATCTTTTGTTAAAAAATTAGAATTTTTTGGATTATAATCGACAAACTCAGAAATTCTATATATTTGTTCACATATATTATACTTGGTCGCGCTACGCGCCAACACGCACTCACGCCCCTCCGACACACGCTCCAACGCGTTATCACACACCATCGACTACTACAATTTTTACTCTCGACACGATATGTCGCCCACTTCAACATGACCCCCACATCGACTCGAGAGTGGGGGGCTTAATGATATGCCTAATTGGCCCAACCCAATGGGCCTACAAATTATTTATCTACTGGGCCACGAGCCCAATATCGAAGACCATTATCACCAAAGGCCCAATCACCTTCAAGTAAGGTTTGTGCCCAACAATCTCAACTAAGCTATAAATAATCATTTGAACTCATTCCTTAAGGTACGTCCTATTAACTGAGCAATACTACAATGTATATTCTCTGGACTATTTCTATGATCAGCACGTCTGACTTGAGCGTCGGAGGGGTTTCCGCCGGATCAACCCCCGGCTTAGTTCATGTGTTCTATGATCGCAGGTACCTCAGGATCATCAAGTTGTCAAGCTACTAATCTGCTTTGCTCTCCCAGTTCATTTTCTACACTACCCCAGGTGATCTAAGTATTTAGCATCATCATTACACTACAAGTGAAAATTTTCGACAGAAACTGACGGAATTCAAAAATTTCGTTGTGATTTCCACAGGAATATGAAATGATCGATTGAGGCCTATGGTGCACGGACACGGATACGTGGACACGGCGATACGCGGATACGGTCACGGTGATACAGCATTTCCAAAAAACTAGGATACGGACACGTGGGGGATACGCGTAAATATAAAAAATATAGGGGTATATTTATAAATAATAAAAATATAGGGGTACATTTATAAATTGTAAAAAATATGTATAAGTCGTCATCGCATAAGAGAACCACTCGCCCTTGTTGCTCGTGTTCTTGATCGCCGTCGCATGCTAGACTTTTGGAGTTTTTGGTGGACTCACAAAGAAAACAGAGGAAATGTGTATTACAGAGAAAAGAAAATGCGTATTTTTTTTTTATTAGAGGTCTCCTTTCCAACGTAAGAGAAGTGTCCCAACTTTTTTAAAATTGTGGACACTGCCTGATACGGGTGTCCTACTTTTAGCGAAATTACGACACGGCCCGACACGGGTGTCCAAGAAGTGTCCGGGAGTATCCGAGTATCCAGGTATCGGATACGGGGACTCTTCAACTTCTAGAAGTGTCCGTGCAACATAGATTGAGGCATCATGTATGTTTTTGATAAAAAAAAGGCCCATTCGTGTTGAACTCGATTTAAACTCCCGTTCGAGTTCAACTCGATGGCTTATCAAACTAAATTCAAACACAGCTTATAATAAAACTCAAAAAATATGCAAACAAGTTTTGACAATTATGCATTTGACTCGACTCTATTCGTTTGCACACCCTGACTTTAGGTTGTGTTTGCGAAAGCTTATTTAAAAGTAGAAGTTAGTGATTTTAAGTTAAATTAGGATTACGTGCTTATTTCTAAAAATTGAGGGTATTTGCAAATTAGCTGGAAAATCAATTAAAATAGAAAAGGCGGGTAAATAAGTGTTTTTAAAATTTATAGCTTAACACAACTTATTTTAAAAGAAACAAAACCAAAAATTTATTTTGCAAACACCTAAAAAACACCGAAAAACAGGTTATATGCTAAAAAAAACTCGTAATCTATTTGCAAAAGCTTTTCCAACAGCCACCAAATTTTATCCAACATCTTGAAATTTGACGGGGTACATTTCGAATTTCGGAAAAGTATTTGGGGGTAATTATAATAAAGTAATAAATCAGGGGTCGTAAAGTAAACAATCTGAAGAAGGAAACAAATTGTACAGGTGGGAAAAAGCATTTACTTTGTGGGTTCCAATACTTCCCCACCACTACTACTCTCAAATTCTTCCACCATTTTTTCTCAAAATTAAAATCGGAATAGCAAACATGAGCAACGAATAGTAAGAGATTAAAAACCCAGATTAATTGTCATCCTTGTTTTGATTTTGATTCTGATTTTGATTTTTAGGGTTTCGTTCACCAATTTTTTTTATTTTTTTTTTGGTGTTTGCAGCGATTATTTGTTCAAGCTTCTGTTAATCGGCGATTCCTCTGTCGGAAAGTCGTGTCTTCTTCTCAGATTCGCTGTATGTTCGCTTCAATTTCTCTTTTGATTTATTTAATTTTTTTTTCTGTGAATTATTTGTATTCTGGGTATTGAGAATTTCACTAATTAATTTAGTTGTAAAATGGCTTTTGCATGGGTTAATCTTCTTGGAGAATCTATGGGCAGATATACATTTTTTAATATTTTTGTTCTTGTTTGAGATTTTTCTGAAAGTAATGTTGTTTTATTAATGATTAATTGATTATAGGATGATTCATATGTGGACAGCTACATAAGCACTATCGGAGTCGATTTCGTAAGTTCTCTCGATTTTTTCGAGTACTTACATACATTTGTATCTATAGTTATTATTGGGTCGATTTTTGCTTGTTGGGATCGTTTTCGTACAAATATTACAAGGGGTTAACACTTAACGTTGCAGAAAATTCGGACAGTGGAGCTCGATGGCAAGACAAGCAAGCTGCAAATTGTGAGTTAATCCGACTAAACTTCTCATGTAGTGGTATACTTGCATAAACGGATCTTGATATTCGAGTTTAGAATTTGATAGTGCAGATTTCTTTGGACTGTACGTGCCTGTAACTACGTTTTATCCGTTACCGATTTTCCGAATAAATACAGTTTTTACATTATCGTTTGGAGAAAGTTTATATTTTATTCCTTTTCAAGTTCTTGTAAACTCGGGTATCTGAAATTGTGTTACTTCATACGGTGAAAAACTCCAAGATAGAGTAGAATTCTAATACGGGAAACGGGGAAAGGAATATACATGTAAACCATTTTGATGTTCTTATTCTAGTCAAACTTAACTTACGTTGTTTTGTTTGTGTTTTTCAAGTGGGATACTGCTGGCCAGGAGCGATTCCGAACGATCACCAGCAGTTACTATCGAGGAGCACATGGCATCATTGTAAGGAAGACTTTTATATATATATATATATATATATATATATATATATATATATATATATATATATATATATATATATATATTCTTGAATTACATGTTTATCCATCATGTTTTTTCTCGTACTTGGCTAATTTCTTGGAATTGTCGAATTTATGCATTTTGCCTGTGCCTGTTTGTTAAGTGTACCTTTTTTCTAATCGGGCTTATATATTATGTACCTTCCGTCTGGTGTTATATGCTTAAATCAGTTGTGGATTCGGTACGCTATGTGTCGTAACCTCATATGTCTAAATTGTAATAGATTGTGTACGATGTAACTGAGATGGAGAGCTTCAACAATGTCAAACAATGGCTTAACGAGATCGATAGATACGCAAACGATAGCGTTTGCAAGCTTTTGGTGGGCAACAAATGCGATTTAGTCGACAGTAAAGTTGTGGACACACAAACCGCAAAGGTGAATTATTTTGCGTTTTGGTCTTATGCAGTATATTTGAAGCTTCAATGTATACCATTTTTAATTATAAATTCTCGTAGGCATTTGCCGATGAACTCGGGATTCCTTTCCTCGAGACAAGTGCGAAAGATTCAATCAATGTGGAACAGGCTTTCTTGACTATGGCTTCAGAGATTAAGAAAAAGTAAACCTACTAACCATTTCATTACTGTTTTAAATTTAAAATGCCGATATTATCCTGCGCATAAACCATTTTAAAACACACAATCTTATTACATTTGTTTCTCGATTTTTCTGAATTTGAAGCTTCAATATCATATTCGCATGTTTTCACTTAATTTGAAGCTTTCTATAGCATATTCGCATGTCTAAAAGTGAAACCGAATTTTTTTCGTATTTCTGCTGATTAGTTTCTGCCATGATTTTTAGTGTTGAAAACCAATTTGCTGTTTGTTTGTTTTTTGTTCTGTTCGGAGTTGTCTGAAAAAACGAGTGTTTATTATGTAGGCTTGGTAGCCAGCCAACTGGGAATAAGTCATCGACGGTGCAGATCAAGGGACAGCCGATCGAGCAGAAGAACAACTGTTGTGGTTAAAGTTTAGTTATTTGTAACTTGAAATGTTTAGAAGTTTGTACAAAGATAGCAAATGTCTATTAACCTAATTTCCTATCACTACTGCAGACACAGTTTTATGTTGCTTTTTTTATGTACTACAGTTATCTTCTCTTTGTTTCCTCTTTATCTGCTTATATATAAATATATATATATATCGAAATTGCCATCTGAAGTTGAAATTCTGACTCGAAATCGATCCAAATGTAATAAATACTATATATCGTCACTGGGAAAGCAAATACAACTCATACAAATCGACATACACAGAAAGTCTCGAATCGAGTAGCAAAAAACTTTTTAAGCACGAGACTAATACGAAGATTGAAATCAATATATAGGGAAAAGAAAGAAAAAAAAAAAAAACAAAGCAGGTAACTTATGAAGAGCAGCAAGCTTTCTTTGTGTTGGTTTCCTGAGGGCCCACAACAAGAGTCTTCCCTTCTTTGATGCCACTTGGCGCAGGCTCATTCGACGAGAGAGATTTCTTACTAATGATTCGATAAATCTCCGAAAGAATTGTCTGAAAAGATTTCTCCACGTTAGTAGCTTCTAGAGCTGATGTTTCGACGAACGAAAGCCCCTCTTTTTCTGCAAAAACTTGAGCATCCTCTGTGGCGACGGCTCTAAGGTGTTTGAGATCGGTTTTGTTTCCTATGAGCATTATTACGATATTTGCGTCCGCGTGGTCACGCAGCTCCTTCAACCATCGACTCACGTTCTCGAACGTTGTTTGTTTTGTCGTATCGTATACGAGAATGGCTCCAAGGGCACCACGGTAATACGCACTTGTTATGGCTCTGTATCTCTCTTGGCCCGCTGTATCCCATATCTGAGCCTTCACTGTTCTTCCTTCAACCTACATATATATATGGTTAACGAAAAATAAGCAAACAAAATAAAATAAAATAATAATAAGTCGTATTGATTGACTGTTTGCTTTTCTAACCAACCAGAAGTCAATGAGGAAACGGAAAAACGGTTGCGAACAAATAAAAAGATACAAACTAATGCTACAAGTCTAGAACCAGTATCTAAACTCAACGATGTAGCAGACCCCAGTGGGAAAAATACAAGTTTCAAGGTATCGTGCGACCAGTTTATCTTTTTCCCCAAATTGAGGGAAAAAATTGGGATTCTAACAACTTAATCGATCAATAGTGTTTCGTACGTTTATCTGTTTAAGAAATTGAAGTGCAATAACCTTCTCACCCGTAGAGCACCGAACTTCGAATTAACCTCCAAAAGTTACAAATATTAGTTCGATATATCTTTGATATGGTTCTTACGATAAAAGCAGATGTTCATAAGCTGATAGTTACAAGGTTTCCATCCAAATACTAATTGTACTATCGAATTGCTAGAAACTAAAACACGGGTCATTGCAGATAAGCTGATAGTTACAAGGTTTCCATCCAAATACTAATTGTAGACAGATAGTCAACACGGAATGCATATAGTTTCACATACTGCTATGTGTTCATTATAACCACATCGAGATTTTATGCCTTCAGTCGACAAGTAACACAGAGTAATACAAGTCATGACAAAGATAAACTCGGCACAAGAATCGAACTTAATTATCAAGATTCTTTCTAGTCTGTACTCAACGAAGACTAACTCCCACCATTTTGGAACATATGGAAGAAATTGCAAGAGGTTATCGTAAAGGATTCTTCTAATCCTTCAAGTAGTTCAAATCTAAAACCCAAGGACGAACACAGGATACAATACAACCACGTTCAATTTCGCATTCGAACCCTCTTTTCTTTTTTTTTTTTATCCAAACTTTACACCTCAAAATTCAAACCCTCATTTATTGAATCAAGAGTTCTAAGTGATCCAGAAAGTACACAGTAGAATTGGTCAACCGTTGTTGCGCAAAATCGAGTAAATTTACCATAAAACCGAACGATAACCAGCCCATCTAACATCAGATCCAATAAAAATAATCTGAAAAGCCCCATATAGATAATAACATCCAAGAAACCATTGAAAAAAACAAAATTGACTCAGCCTTGATAAATTACTTAAATAGTAAAAGAAAGCAACAAAGAACCCACTAATAGCCCTAAGAAAGAAACGACCAAATACGACGTAGTATAAAATACAATCACGTTCATTTTCGTATTCGAACCCTCTTTTTTAAAAACAATTCCAAACATTACACCTCATAAATTCAAACCCCCATTTATTGAATCAAGTGTTCTAAGTCATCCAAAAATTACACAGTATAATTGGGCAAAATCGAGTAAACACCATTAACACCGAACGTTAACTAGCCCATCTAACATCAAATCCAAAAAAGAAAAAAAATCTGAAAAGCCCCATATAACATCCAATAATCCATTAAAAAAAAAAAAAAAAAATTGACTTCGGCCCTAATAAATTACTTAAATAGTACGAGAAAGCAACAAAGAACCCTAAGAAACAACCAAATACGACGTCGTGTCTGGAAAAAAAAAAAAAAAATGACGCACAATTTCACCACATTCTGAAATCGACAAAACCTAAAAACAAAAGAAAACGAACCCCCACTAAAAAAGATCACAACTTTTTTTCGATTCTCCCCCAAAAACATTATCGAAATCGGTAAAAATCAGAAGAAAAAATGGTGGAATTGGGGATTAGGGAAATTGGGACCTGGAGGGTACGGGTGGCGAATTCGACGCCGATGGTGGATTTGGATTCCAAGCAGAACTCGTTTCTGGTGAATCGGGATAGGAGATTGGATTTTCCGACGCCGGAATCGCCGATTAATACGACCTTGAACAAGTAATCGTACTCATCGTCCGGCCTCCTCGCCATAGCTTTTTCTTCACCCTGTTGAATCGGTCTTCCTCTGGAATCAAAAAAAAAATAAAAAAATTATTATATTTTATTATTATAGAAATTATTACAAAACCAATTATTGCTTTTTTTTTCTTTTTTCTTTTTTTTTTTAACAGATGCCTATTGGGAAGTTGGGGGTGTAAATTGTGAAATGACTTAAATGCCCCTCTTAATATTTTCTTGAAATGTTTAAATTTGTTTTTTTTTTTTTCATTCAAATATTTGAATTTCTGGTAAAAATTCTATTAAATTTTTAGGTATTTGAAATTTGTGAATGAAATGATTTGTTAGATTATATAAGTATTAATTATGATTTATGCAAATCAATAAATGGATTTAGATATTTCATTCAGTACAGTTTCAAGGCGTTCGTCGTTTATTAATTAAATTTCGTGAGTCTCGTATATACCAATATGTAAAATGGATAATATTTATGTTACGTTTAGATTGATAATTTTGAATTTTAGCCAATAATTCCTCATCAACTGAATTTTAAATGTATTGTCACGATAAATAAATTTTAAGAAAAAAGTTCTAAATGACAACTACAGATTTGAAACTATTTAACTAATTCAAACAAAAATGATTTATGATTAAATGAATAAATAAATAATAAATAAAAAAGCTTAGGTTAGTATTGTATCAAGCTAGGGGTGCAAATTGGAATTGGATTATCTCCGCCAATTCCGATCGAAAAATATTGGAATTTAGAACCATACTTTCTCATCCTGATTTTTTTTTTAAACGGAAATTAGAACACATTTTTTACTTCCGCAAAAAATTGATTTTTTTCGAAAAAGTAACGTCCGATTTTCCACCTGTATATCAACCTAATAAAACCTATCAACTAATTTATGAATAGCATCTATTTGACAATGTAATGCAACAAAAAATGCCACAACTATCAACATACAAATTACAAAGTACCACCATCCACATTAAAAAAAAAAAAGAATTAAAAAAAATAATAATAATAATAATAATAGTAATTAAGCAAAAATATATAGAGTCAAAATGTAATTTCCTGATAATGTCTGCTGGAATTACTTATAGCCAAAAATTCAGCTATAACACATAGTAACAGCCTCTGTAAGTAGAGAAGTTCGCACAAAAACATTATTGCAACTATAAGTAGCTACCGAAAAAATAAACTCCGATTCTTCAAGTCAACGTAAGTATTACATCAAAAAATATATAAATAATATATATATAAGAAAGTAGTAAGATACGAGTTAACTCGACTGCAATCATCCCGGTCAAAAAAAGGCATATCCACAAACAGAGTCAGCAAATTCGCCAGCACATTTGGAACGGTCAAAATCGCAATGTGGGGTGTCCACAGAATCCGGACGGTCAAAATCTCACGAAGAAAAAAAAAATCAAGAAAGTCAACGTGGGGCCCACAGAACTACCGGCCCGTTTTAGCTCGTTTCATAGCGGTGCTATTGAAAGGTGACATACTAGGGCTCATGCTAGGGGCTCATGCTCGGGCTTTTCTTCTCTGAAAGTCCC